GAGGCGGTTCTTTAATTTTCTGTGCTGGCCCCAAATTACCAAGGGCTCTGTGGTTTGTTATTCAGAGGGGTTTTCTTAACTATCAGGTAGGAAATAAGAAAGTCTGTTTGCTCAATTGTAATGTGCTAGAAATACTTCATGCTGATGTGTAATGAGTAGCAGATGTGTATTTGAGGCTACTAGCAGGTTGTTTTTCTTTATTTCAGACCCTGGTGCTCCCATCAGAAACTGAAAGTGATAGGAGCTATAGCCTGTTGCCCTGCCCATTTTGAACAGTGGGAAACATTCCTCTCTAGGGCCCATGTCTCACTTGCACAGTTATTCCATCTTAATGTAATTTGGACAGAAGGTGTTAGTCTTGCAAGCTTGTAGCTCAGGATTGTTTGTTTTGTTGGCGTTCATTTCAAGTTGTATATTAATATCCTTTTATGCTGCTTACCATGAGAAAAATCTTCATTTTGTGGAACAGAGTAGCAGAAGTCTCAGTGGCTCTAGTGCAGGCACTGCTCTCATGTCTCGCTGGAAGCAAACTCAAAGTAACTGGAACATGAGCACTGGAAAAGGATTTGTGGGTGAAATTGGTCGTCTGAAATTGTATGTCCTGGTAACATGAAAGTCATGACTATGATGAGTGGACACTAAATGCAAAGTGTGGTTCTCCATATAATGTGCTTTTCACTGTCTTAGGATTACAAGCCATGTTATGTTCTTAGCAGACATTTCAACCCCCCCAAAAAGGGGGGTATGTCATTTTAGTCTTGCATCAGTGTTTTTTGGAGAAAACTGGAGCAATGCATTAATAAATAATGCTTTAATGGCCTTCAGTGAACCCTAGGACGGGAAGTCTCTATTATACTTTTTGAAGTACTTGTAATTCCCTTGAGCTGTGGAATACCACAGTTTCCCTTTCTTTTGCTTCTTGGGCATGAGAGTTGAGTATACTTGGTGTCTTAATGAATGTGCAGGGAAAGCAAACTGCTTGGGCTGTTCTGCCTGCTTTTGTGGCCATATAGTGCTGATCGCAGTCTGGCCCTGACTTAATGTCTGAGTGAAAACCAGCATGGCCATGCTGTTTCATAATTTGGCAGGATTATTTCTCAGCTCTGGAATTCACCCTCCTTTTTGGAGATTTGTCATGCTCTTCCTCTTATACACACCTAAACATTATCCAGTTCAAGACTACCTCGCTTTGTCCAGCTATTGCCTGCTTGGGTCTTCCCTTTTATTTGTACACGTTACCTCTGCTAGTTTGCAGCACGACAGTATCTGAAAGGGATAAAAGCTGACTTGAGTGTTCACAGTGAGAGTGACTGTACACGCTGTCCCGGCATAGACTTGTAATATGGCCATGGTTATTGCCTAAACAACACTGAAATGTTATTCAAGTTAGATGTTACAAAACTGCTTGGATTTTTTTTTTTTTGTTCGGAGAACAGATTTATGTTCTTTATTTCTTGCTCTCTCTTTTTTTTTTAAAAAAAAAAAAAAAAACTCAACATCCTCTAATCAAAATGGGAAGTTTAAAAGAAAAAGGCAGCTGGAAGCAGATGTCAAATACCAAGTTTTAAGACTTGGTTAGTATTCTGTAAGGTGACTGCATACATTAATTTGTCCTTTCTGATCTAGTGCTTTAGATAATGTTTTAGCATATAGGAGATAGGTAGAATAGCTCCTACAAGTAGTATACAAGACCTTTATTGCCAGGTATAGAATTTTTCCCATGTATTTGTCTGCAAAATACTATTTTTTGTCACTTCCTATGTCTTCATAAACTGCTGTTTTCTGGAGTCACTGCTTTAATAATAAAGCACACGAATGCATTTGGTTTTAATTTGATTCTAACTTCTACAGTTGAGATGTGCAGAATTCATATGGAATTAAAAAAAGCTATTCTTGCCGAGATAGTGTTTTGGCAAGCACATGGCAACTTGTCTATACACGCTCAGAAGTTTCTAGCTAAACCAGGTTTCTATATGGGCTTTCTCTTCTAAAGATGAGAAGCATTAGATTATTTGGCTTTCTATAACAAGTTTTAACAAGCAGTGTACTGCTACTTGTTTGGAGTATAATTTTCTTCATATAAGTGAAAGACAAAATGAAAATTGAGTCAGGGAACAGGTTTTTTTTATGTGACTGAAGTTATGCTTTTGTAAACCTGCTTGTCTCTTGTCTGTGTGTACATGTGCACTTTTTAAAAATATCCTTGACAGCTAACTTAGTGGTTACCTTCAGTAGCTTCATTTGTAAAAT